GTCCGAGTCAAGTAAAAGAGACTAATGAGGCGTTAAGTTTTAAACTTATAGTTGTATTTTAGGGTAATTGCATTCACAGTATAATACAAAGGGCCATATCGGAACACATTAAGCGTAATTTAGAGGCAAGAACAAAAAATCGAGTGTATAAGCTAACTTATAACTTCCAGGGTGGTTGTGGAGGATGCCCCAGGGATGTTCCCTCAAACGGACTTTGAAATAGTTTCAAACCTCAATCGCCCAACGTCTTTGTGCTGAAATTCATCGTTCAAGTACATCCAGGAAATGGCAAAATTACGTTTGAGCTCCTAAGCGTATATAGAGTAAAAGAGTCGGCATACATAATGTATGAAAGGGTGACCAAAGTTCGCGGAGATCTTGAAATGATTAGAAAATGTGATTTTCGATCTATGATTCCTCATTTCTACACAAATTCATTTATTTGAATTATTAACAAATGAACGGCAAAGTTTTTTTTACTACAAATTGGTTCAACTAGAAAATTTGTCGTCAAAGGATTCCAGAGATATCGCGATCTAAAAATTAGATTTTACTTTACTTCGCGCACGGGGGTTAACAGCTGATCAAAGTTATACAAAAATGCAATCCATCAAAAATAAGGTAATTTCATAATTTGCAAGGCAATATATCATACAATCAGTTGGTACCACTTCTTACTTATAAGATACTATTTTGGGGGAACGGACGCAAATGACTGCAAAATCTGCCGATCTTTTGTAGTCGATCTTCCATATTTTCATAATTTCACACCCAATTCCAAAGAAATGTTTGTCTTTGAATAATTTTAGTTACCCTTTCCATTAGTGATATCAGATTTTCGAAATCTTGCCGATTTTTTGAGATAGCGAACTTAGGTCACGCGCGAACTATGGTCACACCTCCATACGTAGCAGGAGGTATAGCCTACATTTAAGTCCAACAGTCCGGCGTTTACACTAAAGTATGAAGGGGTGACAAAAGTTCACGGAGATTTTGAAAATTTTAGAGAATGTGATATTCGATCTGTGATTTCTCATATTCTACACAAATTAATTTAATTTACAAAGTTTTTTACAACCAATTTTTTCAACTAGAAAATTTATCGTCAATGGATTCGGGAGATATCGCGATCTAAAAATTCGAATTCGAATTCGGATCGGCGTGCGTGCTCCAACTAAATAAGTCATAAAAACAACGAACCCTTACTTCGCGCACGGGGGTTTACAGCTGATTTATTCAAAAATGCGATCCATCAAAAATAAGGTAATACCATAATTTGAAAGGCAAGATATCTCAGTTGGTACCACTTTTTACTTACAATTTTGAGGATATCTGCTCTCAAAATGAAAATTTCAAACCTTTTCGGTAAATTGATAATTTTTAGGAACGGACGCAAAGGACTGCAAGATTTGCCGATCTTTTTGTCAATATTATCACAATTTCGCACCCAATTCAAAAGGGGGAAGGGAGTAGTGAGCAGGCGCGGATCCAGGGGGGGGCCGAGCGGGCCTTGGCCCCCCCCCCCCCGCAAAAAAAAAAAAAAAAAAAAAAAAAGAGAGAAGAAGGAAAAGAAGGGAAAAAGGAGAAAAAAGGGAAAGAAAGAAGAGGAAGAAGAAAAGTAAAAGGGGAAGAGGGAGATCAGGGGGCCGAAAGGGCCTTGCCTCCCAGGCTTTTAACCCCCCCCCCCCCATCAAAAAAAAATAAGAGAGAAAGAAGGAAAGGGAAAGAAAAAAAAAGGAAAAGAGGAGATACTGGCGTACTAATAGAGGGGGGGGGGGGGGGGGGCTTGGGAGAAATCAAATTCAAACGTGGTTTATTTCTGATTCCACAACGGTGTATTACAAATAATGCTGAAATGACATAATTTCCAAAAATTTTCCTCACTTTTTATTAAATTAAACGTTTGTATGTGTTTGTTGGAAAATAAAAAAATTCCTAAATTTACAACCAGGCAAAAAATATGATTCTTGAGATTCCTACATGTCAGGGCCCGAGGTACGGCGGGGATCGAGAGCCTCGAGGCATCAAAATATGCTCATCTGACCGTGATTAAATGCCTAAAACCCCTAAGCTTCCGGGGGCTTTGCCCCCTGGATTCCATCTAGGGCCCTACGGCGGGCCCTTAGATGATCATCTGACGGTAATTTAATGCCTAAAACCCCTGATTTTTTGGGGCTCCGCCCCCTGGACCCCACGCCAAATAGTGACTTGCCAGTGTCACAAAATAATTAGGTATACACAAAAATATGCTCATCTGACCTTAATTAAACGTCCAAAACCCCTGAGCTTCCGGGGCCGGCTCCGCCGCCTCGACCCCACCAGGAGCCCTAAGGCGGGCCCCTGAATGTTTATCTGACCGTAATTTATTGCCTTCAACCCCTGAGCTTGCGGGGTCGGACAAGGTATCAAGATGTGATTATCTGACCGCAGGCGCGTAGCCAGGGGGGGGGGGTGGTGCGGTCCCCCCCCCCCTCATCGGAAGAGGACGTAGGAAGAAAAAGGAGCAGACAAAGAACATCTTTGAAATTCAGACAAGGATTAAGAGTATAGAGAACGGTACAACGCATCGTTTTCTTTCTCTAATAATAAAACGTCAAAGCCTCGCGCTGGAGGGGAAGAGGGGGGGGGGGGGGGGGGGGGACTGAATTGAGACGAGGATTCAGAGGCGAGAATGGTAATACGAATCTTTAATTATTTAATGAAACGTAAAAGCTTATGCGCTTCGCGCGGGATGGAGGGGGAACTAAATTCCGATGAGGATTATTTTCGAGAACGGTACAACGAATCGTCTTCTTTCTTTAATAGTTTAATAAAACGTCAACGCTTCCGCGCTTCGCACAGGAGGGGGAGGGGGGGACTGAATTTAGACAAGGATTAAGATTCGAGAACTGTACAACGAATCGTCTGCTTTCTCTAATAATTTAATAGATCGTAAAATTTTCCGCGCTTCGCGCGGGAGGGGAAAAAATAAATTCAGACGAGAATTATTTTCGAGAACGGTACAACGAATCGTCTTCTTTCTTTAATAGTTTAATAAAACGTCTAAGCTTCCGCGCTTCGCGCAGGAGGGGGAGGGCGGGGACTGAATTTAGACAAGGATTAAGAGTCGAGAACTATACAACGAATCGTCTTCTTTCTCTAATAATTTAATAAATCGTAAAATTTTCCGCGCTTCGCGCGGGTGGAGACAAACTAAATTCAGACGAGAATTATTTTCGAGAAAGGTACAACGAATCGTCTTTCTCTAATAATATAATGAAACGCCAAAGCCTGGGAGGGGGAAACTCGCCCCCCCCCCCTGCACACCGACCCCCCCCCCCCCCCCCCCCGCATTACGTCACTGTTGGTTACCATAACGTACCAATATTTGGCTCGCATAATTTCAAATTTGGGCCCCCCCCCCTAAGAAATCCTGGATCCGCGCCTGGTAGTGAGCAAGTGAGCGCTTTTTGTTTTGCCCCCGGAAATTTGAAAATCATCGCCCCCCCCCCTCCCCCTTGAGCATCAGGGAAGGGGCCCCCGTCTTCTTTTTTATACATATAAAGGTAAATTTAACGTATTTTAACTATTTTTCCCCAGGGGTGGGGGCCCGAACCCCCCCCCCCCCCCGGATCCGCCACTGGAGCTACATGCATCTTTGCCCTCATTCACTAGCGTAAACCTTTCAAGAGCATTTCTATAACTATCAGTATCATCCCCTATTTCTATTATTTAGCAATTAGCTTTAGTTGTTCCTTTAATTGAGAAAAAACAATATTTTCATTAGAAATCCATGAACAGACGACAATCGGCCGTTCGTTTGCTATTTACGTTTCACCCACGTGGCTTAGCGATAGTCCTCTAATCGAGGGGCCAATAGAATGATTGGGGCATCAGTCTTAATCGGAAATTGAAATGATAAGAATGATGCTGATGGCGATGATGACGATGACGATTCGCGTCATCAACATGGAACCACATTCCTGTCAAAATACATTAAAAAGCACGGGCTCTTCAAATGCTGGATGTTTCTAATAAAATATGTAAAACTCTTCTTTTTTCCAGATCGAGTCAAAATCAACTCTGATTAAAGAAGGCCTTTCAGTCAAAGTAATTGAGATGTTTTGGAGAACGAGCCCAATCGTGCTTGCCTTGCTTAAAGTCGCAGTGTTCTTAAGTGTCGTAGCTAATCCCACTGAAAGACCACCAATGAACACCAATACTAACCTGAGCGACGACGCAATCCTACGCACAATACCCTCGGTTGTTTCGGATGGTTCTACCATGTTTACTGTAGCTGACACATGGGATAATGGCTCCACGGAATACTTTTCCTCGACCAGGGATGTGACGCAACTGATCACGACGACAGGGTGGAAATGGTGGAGTTACGAATCTACAACTGAACCTACACGTTTGCTGACCACACTTCAGGGAGAAACGGGTGAGATTAGTGCGGACAGCAGCGCCTTTTCTTGGAAACCGATCAATTGGTCATGGGTACTCATTCTCAAGCTCGTCTCTTCATTCGTTGGCATCGTCGGAAACCTCCTGGTGATCATTGTTCTCTTTCAGCGTCGACGATTGTGCAGATCGACGGATACCCTGATCGGCGGCCTAGCCTGTGCGGACTTACTGACTTCGGTGTTCCTCATACGAATCCCATTGCCGGCGTATATTCCTAAGACCTGGTACGGTGAATTCTACTGCAAACTTATCAAAACACAAAGCCTTCTCTGCATCTGTCACGGCCTCTACCTACCTGCTCATGTCTATATCTGTCGAACGGTACATCGCGGTAGTTTACCCTCTTCACTTCAAACGCCTCATCACTCGACGTCGTGTCTCGATCTTCATCGTAATCATTTGGTTCCTTTCCTTCTTGTCGGGACTCTTTGGTTATATCGTCTATGCTGTAGACGCGACGAACCAGTGCACCGAGCAGTACACATCCGCCACTTCGCAAACCATCATTGCCTACTACTGGTTTTTTCCTTCGCCTCGCTGTCCCTTGTCTAACCATGCTCGTCACCCAGATCCTCATTGCGCGCAATCTCAGTCAACAATTTCGCAGCTTCAAAGGCATCACCAATGCCACAACCACGACAAATGGAAATCAAGCGCCGTCATTCCACATCGTGGCCAGAAACCGCGTTCTGAAGCTAATGCTGACCGTCATCATCATCTACATCGTATGCTGGACCCCAGCCCAGATTGCCTACCTTGGTTACAGCCTTGGATGGGTTCCCCTATCCTATCTGAACAGCCCCATCCATAGTTTGCTCACTGTGTTTGGTTTCTACAACTCTTGTGCCAATCCCATCATCTATGCGGCAAGGTATCCCGAGTTCAGAAACGCTCTCAAGGAAATGTTCACCTGCAAGTCTGCCAAAAATACTCCGCTGTTTGAGAAGATGGACACTCCGAACACTTCAAGCAACATCTCGACGTCAAAAGCTGACATTTACAGTGTTTGAGGATTGCCATCGGGTCATTAGAATTGGAAATTACAAAAGATTTAATCCTTCATGATTAACTTGTTTCAATATAATAACGTTTCCTTTAAAAGTTAGATTAAGCGGTTCCTCTTTTAAACAACATATCCGTGTATGTTATAGTTATTTTAGCCATTTATACAGGAAAAAGGCAAGTAAAAACGATATTATTTTATGTAGGATATCAAACGTATAATGATTTGGGATTGAAATGCTAAAATTACAATTATCTGTAAATATATTAGCTAACATTTTGACATCTTTACGTATACATTGTCATAGCAACACAAACAATTTCCATTGTATAGATAAACCAATAGATTTATAAATACTTCCATTTGCAATTATGTAAAGATTAGAAATGATAAAAAGTTTGGTAATTACATTTACTGAATATAACCATAGAGTTTCGAAAAACGAATTTTATGTATATAGGCACACACGTGTATACTCTGGTTATGATGTAGTTGCATAATTATGATATGATTTATTCTTTTTTAATCAGTTTTTTATTGACACTTCCTCACCTTAAGAACATCAGAATATATAAATCTGTAATTACATCCGAGAAAGCACAATTGGTCCATCCCTTTACATCTAATATGAAATATAATTGACTTATAAAAAGCGGTACGCCCTAATTCGAATAAAAATGTAAAATTTGAAGATTTTCCGAATGCATCTATTTTTAATTTCAGCAAGCAGCATTAATTATTCATGTGTTTAAAATATAAAGGCTAAATGACATATAAAAAGCCGTACATTGACATTTTATCATCGAAATAATATCCTAATGAATTTATTTGTATTTTATTGCAATGGCAAAATAAAATTATTAATGTGGCTATAGTATAAAAAAAATATATACTACAACAAATCACTATGACTGCCTCATCGGAACAACCACTGTATAATTATAGGCATGCAGATTCTTTTTCATCACTAATCTGAAAAGAGTACACAAATTGAAATGAATAGCACGATCGCAAAATCTTTCAAGAAATCAGCAGCATTTGAGCAATTCCATTGGATCGTCCATCTCTTTTATAAAATGGGCGAATGTTGACAATGACATATTACATGTTTTGAACATGATTTCTCTAGGTTATTGGACTTGTCTTTGAGTTGATTTCTTTCTTTTTAAATTGCAACAAAAAGGAAAAATGCTTCGAATTACCTAACAGTATCTTATTTGCCACTATACCTGCACTTTTGTCGAGGATAACGTAGTTTATTCATAAATCGGTCAGTGATATAAATTGTATATGTATACATGTACACAGGAGTTCTGTATTTAACTTTCACCTAAAGTACGATTATAATATTAAAGATGTTAATATATCACAATTAATCGAGGTAATGTTATTTTTATTCGAACATAATTTGCTGATAATGAAAACTTTCTCGTTATTATTGTTATTTTCATTATTATTGTTAACAAACGTCATAGCGATACAATAATATACGTATATCAATTTCTGGATACACCACCAAGGGTGTTTCACAAAGATCCTACGTTGAACTTATCTCTAAGTTGGACTTAACAATTATGGAAGGCCGTTTGCAACTATGACAATATTTTGAAAAAGTTCTTTTAAAAGGCATAAAATGTTGATTCAAATCTATCATATTTTCTATTATCAAGGATATTTCATGTTCTTGATGTGGAATTTATTTAAAAAAAGTCTAAAATACTTCGATTTTCACTTTTTAATTTGTTTTATTTTAAGGCTACAAATGGCTCTCTATAATTTTTAAGTCAAACTTAGAAAGTTAAGTTCGACTTTAATAGGATCTTTGTGTAACACCCCCCCCCCCCAGAAAGAATAAGTGACGTACATAAATATGAGAAAAGAAGGAAGACAGATGCAGACATTGGGAGGAGATGAGAAGGAGGGATTAGAAAGGAAAACCGTTCAAAGACCTCCAAAATCAGGAATACTTAGAATAAAAGGGAGAGAAAGTTCAGTGAGAAAGAGAGAGAGGGAGAAAGGTAGATCCATAGGCGGCGAAACCGGAGGAGGAGGAGGGGTAGGGGCACAGTGCCCCCTCCTTTTGATTTCCCCAAACTACCCACCCCCCCCCCCCCCAATTTACGTAGGAAAAGACTAATGTCCGTTTTTTATTCTTCGGATATGTCCACCTTTTCCTTTCTAATTAGTGCCCCAACCCCCTTCTCAAAATTCTACCCATTTTCACCTCTGAGAAGTTCTCTTAATATAATCTAATAGGTGCCAATTTTACTTTGACAATTGTATATTTTCCTTTTTTAATAATGCCCTTTTCCTTTTGATAAGTGCTCTTATTCCTCTTGTAATAACTGCCCCTTCCCCTTTCTTTGCCTCCTTTCACATCTGATTAATTCCCATATCCGAATCTAATAGGTGCCTTTTACTTTGAGAACTATGCACATTTTTCTCTAGGTAAAGTACATTTTGCCCTATCAAGAAGTGCCACTTTTCATTTTGATGAGTACCCCCTTTTAGGTATGATACATAACGTATTTTCAGCTCTGATAAGTGTCCCATTTTACTTTGACATGTCCCCTTTTTACTTCTTGAATAGTGTCCGTTTGAGCTTTTGTAACAGCGCCCCTTCCCCCGACTTGTCAATGCCCCTTTTCATCTCCGATAAGTGCCCCTTTTCACCTCTGATATGTGCACCTTTCTAAAATGATAAGTTCCCCTGTTACCTACGATGTAATTGCGCTGTGATAAGTGCCTCTTAACCCCTATATTTCCCACTGTCTATTACAACGTGTGCCCTCTTGTGGTCATCTCTACCACCACAATGAAAAGCAGTGGAGCCGGAGAAGGCGCGGGGGGGGGGGGGGGGGGGGCTGAATATGCCAAATTCTGTAACAATGAACTATGTCCCTTTTAGAAATATAATCCTGCCCATTTTCAAGTCGAATGTTACTTCATCTCTAGATATAAGAAGTGTGCCCTTATTTACACTGAAGCCAACCTATCATCCTTTAAACCTCAATCACTTTTACAATTCATAGAATGCTAACGTAATCAATTGCCCTTCGTTTTCAAACCCAATACAACTGGATTTACATAACACTCATGTTGAAAAGACTGGGACATAATTACTGTACCTGCTATGACAACATGTTGATATGGCCCCTTACCTACCCCCAAAACACAGATTTTGCAACTGGCTCGCTACGCTCCCTCGCATTTAAAGTTTCGTTTATTATTTAAGGTTTAGTCATACTTTCATTCTACGATTGTTCTTAAAACCCTATCAGGATCGATGATCTTCTATCTTTCTCTTTCTCGATCTCTCCATTCTCTATTCGTCTCTCTCCCTCTTCACTATATCTCTCTCTCTATTCATCTCTCTCCCTCTTTCTCGATCTCTCTTCTCTACACACCTCTCTCCCTCTTCTCGATCTCTCTCTTCTCTATTCATCTCTCTCCTCTTCACAATCTCTCTCTTCTCTACACATCTCTCTTCCCTCTTCACCATCCCTCTCTTCTCTATTCATCTCTCTCCCTCTCAACCATCTCTCTCTTCTCTATTTATCTCTCCCCTCTTCTCGATTTCTCTCTTCTCTATTCATCTCTCTCCCTCTTCAACAATCTCTCTCTTCTCTACACATCTCTCTCCCTCTTCACCACCTCTCTCTTCTCTATTCGCTCTCTCCCTCTCCACCATCTCTCTCTTCTCTATTCATCTCTCTCCCTCTCCACCATCTCTCTCTTCTCTATTCATCTCTCTCCCTCTTCACAATCTCTCTCTTCTCTAAACACCCTCTCTCCCTCTTCACCATCTCTCTCTTCTCTATTAATCTCTCTCCCTCCCACCATCTCTCTCTTCCTCTATCATCTTTTTCCCTCTTCTCAATTTCTCTCTTCTCTATTCATCTCTCTCCCTCTTCACCATCTCTCTCTTCTCTATTCATCTCTCCTCCCTCTTCACCATCTCTCTCTTCTCTATTCATCTCTCCTCTTCACTATATCTCTTCTCTCTATTCATCTCTTTCCCTCTTTCTCGATCTCTCTCTTTTCTCTATTCATCTCTCTCCCTCTTCACAATCTCTCTCTCTCTACACATCTCTCTCCCTCTTCACCACCTCTCTCTTCTCTATTCATCTCTCTCCCTCTCCACCATCTCTCTCTTCTCTATTCATCTCTCTCCCTCTCCACCATCTCTCTCTTCTCTATTCATCTCTCTCCCTCTTCACAATCTCTCTCTTCTCTACACATCTCTCTCCCTCTTCACCATCTCTCTCTTCTCTATTCATCTCTCTCCCTCCCCACCATCTCTCTCTTCTCTATTCATCTCTCCCTCTTCTCAATTTCTCTCTTCTCTATTCATCTCTCTCCCTCTTCACCATCTCTCTCTTCTCTATTCATCTCTCTCCCTCTTCACCATCCCTCTCTTCTCTATTCATCTCTCTCCCTCTTCACTATATCTCTCTTCTCTATCATCTCTTTCCCTCTTCTCGATCTCTCTCTTCTCTATTCATCTCTCTCCCTCTTCACAATCTCTCTCTTCTCTACACATCTCTCTCCCTCTTCACCATCTCTCTCTTCTCTATTCAACCCTTTTCCCCCCAGACCATCTCTCTCATCTCTATTCATCTCTCTCCCTCTTCACCATCTCTCTCTTCTCTATTCATCTCTCTCCCTCTCATCTCTCTCTTCTCTATTCATCTCATCTCCCTCTTCTCAATTTTTCCTCTCTATCTATTCTCTCTCTTCTCACTCTTCTCTCTATCTCTCTTTTTAATCATCTCTCTCCTATTCTCAATCTCTCTCTTCTCCATGCATCTCTCTCTCTCTCTCTTCACCATCTCTCTCTCTCTCTTCTCTATTCATCTCTCTCCCTATTCTCAATCTCTCTCTTCTCTATGCATCTCTCTCTCTTCACCATCTCTCTCTCTCTCTTCTCTCTCTCTGTCTGTCTCTCTCTTCACCATCTCTTCTCTCTCTCTCTCCTCCTCCTCCCTCCCTCCAACTACCCCCTCT